TTTACACCCTCGGAAACCCTGTACAGGGACGCTATGGGTCGGAACCGACTCGACGGCACTTAACAACAACAACAACAACAAAATGGCATAACTGTACATAAAACACAGTTAAAAAGTAATTTGGTTGGATTATTTGCAATGGTTGACTTATTTAAGTTCCCTCACTTTTGCATGTCATCTGTGACTGGAGATCCCATTGGTTGTTTACCAGGACATACATAATAGCAAACTCTTTTATCATGGTAAAGAGCATTGCTGGTCACTTGTCTGGAGTTGGTGGATCAGCAGATGTGAATGTACTTATACAAGATGGATCTCTCAAAGAGAATCAGAAGTCTGTTATCTATGAATATAATCTGCCCTTGCCTAGTAACTGCTCATGCTGGATCCAGTTAGCAAGGGTTGGATTTGACAGCCCACCCCCAACTCTTGTTTATTAGAAAGAAATAGAATACACTTAAGAGATCCACCAAGATAAAGAGATTGAATTACAGGGGAGGAGACAAATATCAACTAAGGTATTAAAGTGGGAGGGGCCTCATAGTTTACTCAACCTTGTGCCTGGGTGCCCTGGTGACCCTGTTATGAAATTTGTTTCTGGCTGACACGTTCTCTCACACTGGAGCTGGTATCAGTTTCATTTAGTATGCTGCCCCTTCTGTCAAAGCAGTGCTAGCTTTTCCTTGTGCCCTGTCTGCTTGGCATTTATGGGTCTTTGCTTTGGACATCTGGTTTCCCTGTTGTGTTGACAATTCTAATCACATGCTTACCTTGCTTATTGGGTAATTTACTTGGGTAAATGGGACAATTATACGTAGGGTCACTATGACTTGGAAGAAACTTGACAGTATTTAACAACAACAGCAAATAAGACAGTCATTCCAGCATTTGGGAAAAAGTTTAAACAATGACATGTTTAAAGTTATTGGAGAGGGGTATGTGCTTAAGAAGGGAGAGAGGGAGTATTTTGCGTATCACCACAGTTAAAGGTCACTGCAGCCACATCATTACTGTGCTTGTCTCCCTCCTCACAAAACAAATACAGTAGCTATAGATGATGAAGTCCTATTAATTGGAATACTACCTGTTTTGGGATGTGCTGATTAAGTATGCCAAGCAAAGGAACAGTGAATTTGGAAATTGGCCTTGCAATCTTCTCTACTGGAATGAAGTATAAATTGGAAAGACATCTCAAACTCAACACTTCCGAAACTAAAGTCATTGTCTTCTCCTCCCACTCTCTTAAATTCATTAATATATTCAACAATTATTTGAGCACTGTTTAGTGTTTGGTTCTGGAGATAAACATATTAGCTAAACATACAGGGTTCCTGCTTTCAAAATGCTCACAGCAGAATGTTGTGGCATTTTAGGATAAGCACAGGACTGCTAACCACAAGATTGGCTGTTCAAATCTACCAGCTGCTCCTTGGAAACTCTATACTGGGTCACAATGAATCAGAACTGGCTCAATGGCACTTAACAACAACAACAACAACAATCATATAAATAATCAAAGAGCTCCATTGGCACTGATGGAAAGTGCTGAGCTGATAAAGACTGAAGGTTCAAATGTGGCTGCTGACTTCCATAAAGATCACAGCCTTGGAAACCCAATGGGGCAATTCTACTCTGTCACACTGGGTCACTAAGTGGGTCGAAAATCAACTCAGTGGCATCTAACAACAACTGTAACATCATGTAGTTATGAAAATAAACGATTAATTGCACACTATGATAGTGCTGGACTTCTGGTGTGGCATTGTAGGATAAGCACTGGACTGTAAAATTACAAGGTCAGAGATTCACGCCCACCAGAAATCGACTCAACGGCACTTCACAACAAAATTATAGTACTAGGAGTGCCTGTTGTTGTTAGGTGCCATAGAGTCGGTTCCAACTTCTAGACACCTGCATAGGGTTTCTGAGGAGCGACTGCTGGGTTTGAACCCCAACTTTGTAGCTATCAGTACAGTGTTTATCCTGCAGCGTCACACCAGGAGTACAATAGTACAAATTGTTAAGTGAAAGGTTGGCAATTCGAACCTACCTAGAGGTTCCTCTACCTAGAAGCTCCTCAGAAGACAGACTTGTGGATCTGCTTCCCAAAGGTCACAGTATTGAAAACCCTCTGGAGTACATACAGTTCACCTTTGACACACATGAGGTCACCAGGAGTTCGAATTGAGTTGACTGCAATTAACAACATGATAATGCTATGAAGGGAAGATGCTCACTGCTATAAATCTTTACTGAACTATCATAGTGAGTTATTATACAGCATCCCAGGAATAAAGTGTTTTAAAAGGAAGCACTACAGTAGTGGCCTTTTTAGGGAAACAGTCTACTATTAAAACTCTAATCTCTGTTGTTTGGTGAATTTCTTTTAAATTCAGCAATATTTGTGATAATGCTGGCTTTTAAAATACTGACTTGTACATTTGATATTGTTGTTGTTGTTGCTAAGTAATGTTGAATCGGTTCTGACCCATAGTGACCCTGTATAGGGTTTCCTAGGAGTGGCTGGTGAGCTTTAATCACTGACCTTGCGACCTTGCCCTGCAAACCGACTTTGCAGTCCCACACATTAACCCGTAGTGCCACACCAGGACTCCACATTTGCTATTAGTATGATTAAACTAGGAGGTGGCATAAGAGTTAAGCAATTGACTACTAGACAAAAGGTTGGTGACTTTAACCTACCCAGACGTACCTGGAGCTTGGAGATCTGCTTCTGAAAGGTCAGTCTAAAAAACAGTATGGAACAGTTCTACTGTGTACACACTTTAGCTATAACGGTAACAGTAACATTTAACCTATTATGGTTATTATACAAAAAGTGGTGAACTGTTAGGTAGATTCTGACTCATAGTGAGGGTCACTATTATGAATGTTACCACAATACATTGTAGCGGGTTCGCTTTTTAAAATTCTATTTGGATGAATTCCAAAACCCTTAACACCCAGTCTCCTCACTGGGGTCAACTGTGTAGAACTCCCACCTTACTGAGGTGCAGCTACTCTGGTCTAGGATGCAGCTGCTGATTAACAGTTGTACAACCTCAGAGCTTGACACTCTATAGAGAGCTCACCCCACCCAATTAAATATCGCTATTTTTGAATAACAGTTGTGTCTTGCAAACGCAACTGCACTTCAGCGTTTTCTCAACTCCGGGCTTGGCAATTTTCTCCTTTCCCTCTCTATTCTCTACCAGAATGATGAGTATTTTGCTCTTTTTACTGAGGAGCTGGAGGAAAGGAGAGGTAGAGAACTAATTTTTTAGGGGAGGGAGGTAGTGTTAACAATTTATTTTGGGGAGCAAAGACACCAACCAACTCGCCAGGCAACCTTCCACCAGATTCCTTTCCCTCGGGCGGCCCCAGGATGTGGCCAACCTAGAGCGAAGGACCGGAGACTTCGCTCGCTCGCTGCCCTCCCTCCATCTCTTTGCCACGTAGGGCCGCTTTTCCCGAACCCCCACCACCCCAATAAATTAAATTAAACAAGGGCCAGGATCTGAACTCGTCCAGGCGCTGGGCTTCAGGCAGCAACGGACGCCGAGGGAGGACAGCGAGCCCATAGCCCCACGGCCACTTTGATTGTTGAGTGCACTCAACTTCAGAGTGAGGCGCTCAGAGGGTGCGAGCGGGGACTCCGCCCAGCGCCACTCCGGTCCCCGAGCGGGTAGGAGCTGTGTGGGGAAGGCGCAGCCGCCGCCCGTGGTCTGCAGGCCAGCCGCCCGCTTTCTAGGGCCCAGCCGCCCGAGGCGGGGGAGGGGCAGCCGCCGCCCGCGGTCTCCAGGCCCCGGGGATCGACGCCTGGGCCGCCTATCACGGAAGCGCGACTGCAGCTGAGGATCAGCTGCTGGAGGAGGCGGAGGAGAGGGAGGAGCCTAGGGGGGAAGAGGAGGGAGGGCACCATCAGGAAGCACCGAACGCCACCGAGTGTCTGCTGCACACCTCGCTCGGTCTGCCCCAGCTCCTTACAGAAGCCTCCGGATCGCAGCGCGGGGGGAGGGCAGGGCGGGGGGAGCGAGCGGCCGCGCGTGAGGCCGAGGGAGGGGCGGCGGCGGGATCGGCGGCGGCAGCGGCGGTTCCAGCATGAAGAGGAGAGCTGGCCTGGGGGGCAGCATGAGGTCAGTGGTGGGCTTCTTGTCCCAGCGGGGCTTGCATGGGGACCCCCTGCTCACTCAGGACTTTCAGAGGAGACGCCTGCGGGGCTGCAGAAACCTCTACAAGAAGGACCTCCTGGGCCACTTCGGCTGTGTCAATGCCATTGAATTCTCCAACAATGGAGGCCAGTGGCTGGTCTCAGGTAAATCAACCCCCTTCCCCTCCCTACGCCTCCCGCCCCCCGCCCAGCCTCCCCTCTGCGCTCTCCCTCACTGCCCCCCTTCTGCCCTTCACCCACCCCTCCCTCCTCTACCTCCCATCTGCGGGGGGGTGGGAGGGGAAGGTTTGGTGTCAAATTCAAACCCTTGCCGAGGGAGGGAGGGAAGGGAAGGCAAGGCGAGGATGCCTTCTGTAAAAAAGACCTAAAATGGTTGACAGGTCCTTAATCCGCTTTATCCCAAGTGCAAAGTGATCGCCCCAAGATCACTGCCCTCAAAGTGTGGGGCGGGGCGCGGGCCAGGTTACCGCTTGACAAAGTTTGGTGGGAAACTCTTCCTCTGTGTACTTTAAAAGGTGCAGGGGCTATTTTGAGGATTTGGAGGGGGAGGAGGCCGAGGCTCGCCAGAGGCTAGGCAACTGCGAGTCCCTGTCTCCAGTGCCCTAGAGAAAGGGGCCTTGGGGCTGGGGTCGGGCGGTGACAGGGCCCGATGCCGGAGGGGCCAGGAAGGGGCTGCGGGCCGGGGGGTTGGTGAGAGTCTGCGGAGGGAAGGTGACCGGCGAGCGGCTCGATGTTGGCCGCCTCCCTCGGCGTTCCTCAGGGCCCAGCTCCATCTCCTTTCGTGGAGTGGTGGCCGCTTCCGCGTCTTGTTTTTATTATGGTTTCAAGAGTGGCGAAGGTTCTGGAGGCCAAGGGGTACTGGTCTGAACTTGAATGCGCAACTTGTGTGGCAGGGGGTGGATGAGCGACCCCTGGGCGACTTGTTGGCGGGAGCCCCGTGGCTGCACCCCCTCACCCGGCCGACTGTCATTGCAGGTGGTCTCCGCACCTCCCCCGCTCCCAACTCCAGGCCTCTTTGCCCCCTCAGGCTCCCCCTCCGGTTTGGGCAAAGTGGCGAAATCGAGGCCGGGGCTCTGGCCGGGCAGTGTAGGCCTCGCTCTCCCGGGGCTCCTAGCGACAGGCAGCTGAATCGATAGCCTATTGCTCCTGGGGAGGCCCGGGCGGGCGGGCGGCAGCGACAGCTGCCCTGGGGGAGGTATGCTTGGGTGGGGGTGGGGGAGAACCTGCCGCCGCCCACTCCTTCCTGAGTTGGATTCCGAAGGACCGGTGGAGGGCAGAGGAGAGGAACAGAATGAGGGTCTGCTAGGGTATGGGCAGGAAGACGGAAGACTGGTGATTTGGCGTCCCCGCTCGCCTTCTGCCATTCTCGGTATTATTTCCTACATTGTGAAGGATGAAAGGGGAGCCCAGCGCTGGACGTGGCGCTTAGCACCCGGGTCAGCCCTCAAATGGTTTTCTAATTTACATTAGTGGGCAGCATGCCAGAAACTTCTGGGATCATGGCAAAGCATTTGTCTTCTTCGCAAGTAACAATCGGAAGTGACACAGGTCGTACAGGCCAGTTGGGGGTAGCAGAGACAAGCCTTGTTTGATCATTTCATGATAAATCTTCTGGAGGTTAACGTTTGACTTTTCCACCCCAGATCGTTTTCTCTTTGATTAGGTAGGTTTTGACCTTAAGAAACCTGATATCTCACACATCTCTGTGTAAATTGTTTATTAAACAAAAACAGTAATCCAGGGGCAAAAATGGGGAAGATATCTTTAAAGACTGAACTTCCTATTTCCCTTATTACTACTACTACTGGATTCTTAATATTCTTTTCCTCTCCAAATTATATTTTAGCAGAGATGTTCCCATTTACAAATAAACTTTACTTGGCAGAGGGAATTTGGGGGTACTTATATACGACGGGAATCCTGGTGTGGCGCTGTGGGTTAATGCACCAGACTGCAAAGCCGTTTGAACTGCCATGTCGGCGGTTTCAAGCTCACCAGCTGCTCCTTGGAAACCCTATACAGGGTCGCTATGGGTCGGAACTTACTCTACAGCACTCAAGAACAACAACAACATATACGACTGGAAAGCCGTTTGAACTGCAAGGTCGGCGGTTCAAGCTCACTAGCTGCTCCTCGGAAACCCTATACAGTGTCGCTATGGGTCGGAATCGACTCGACGGCGCTTCACAACAACAACAAAATATACGACTGGTGTGGCACTGTAGGCTAAGCACGGGGCCTCAAGGTCGGCTTGAACTCTCAAGGTTCAAATTCAACCAGCCACTCCTTGGAAACCCTATACAGGAGGGTCCTTATGAGTCGGAACCGACTGGATGTAACTTTACAACAACGATGCCTGAACTAATGTGAATTAAAGTACAGTCACACATTGTCCAATTAACATAATTTAAAATAATAGCTTTGGTTATGTGCCTTAGAGTCAGTTCCAACTCGTAGCAACCCTGTACAGGGTTTCTGAGGCTGTCAATCTTTACTGGAGCAGAAAGCCTCATCTTTCTCCACAGAACAGCTGGTAGTGTTGAACTGCTGACCCTGAGGTTAGCAGCCTGATTCGTAATCATTGCCCTACCAGAGCTCCTTTATTGAGATATAATTTACATGCCATATGGATCACCCATTTAAAACGAACACTGTTAAAAGCATTAAGAAGCTTTCTCCATTCTCTACCAGCTACCTCTTAACTCTATGCAAGATCTTCCCCAAAGTCCTCAATGAATGCCATTTTCTCTATTCTAAACTAGTTGATTTCCTTTAGCTTAATTTTAGCCTACCAGAAGAAAAGGGTTCTTTTGACAAACTAGTTCTAATCAATCACTTTCTTACTGTTCTGGGCGTGCCTTACCCATTTCCATCAATATTTCCTACCTTCTTTGCCTTTTGCTCCTCCCTTTCTTGTCCCATACTCCTACTAGCTCAGTTCTTCCTGCTTCCTTTTTATCTACTGCCTTTGTTCTTCAAGTTCTTCTAGCTGATGTTTCCACCAGTCCCTCAAATTTGCTCAGGTAAACTTAGCTTTTCTTATTTGTTTTATTAAAGACATTTTGCAACTTGTGTTAAGGGAAAGTTCTTCCCCTTTAGGAACCACAATAAAGCTTGTTTAAGTGAATTAAATTTTATGCTAAGAAAAGCCCCTCAGTAATCTTCTCAAGTTCAAAAGTAATTAGGTATCATATTGACATTAAAACAAAACAAAAAAAAATCTTTCATTTTTTCCTTATTAGCAATAAATAACTGAGGGATGCATTTAGTATTTTGAGGTCAATATTAGTGGTTACAAATTGGGCTGCTAACCTCCAGGTCAGCAGTTCGAAACTACCAGACATTCCACCAGAGAAAGATGAGGCTTTCTGCTCCCGTAAAGATTTACAGCCTTGGGAACCTATGCGGGGTCACTGTGAGTCAGAACCAACATCAAAGTACACCACCACCACCATTTATCCCCAGTGTTTCACTATAACATGGTAGGACATCAGACTCTGGGATGGTAATACATTTCTTCGTATGCATTTTTGTGTAACAGTGTCTTGTTTAGATTGGTTGAAGCCCTCAAAAAGTGATTTTTTTTTTTTTTTTTTATGTTCATCATTTTCATTTCCTAATTTTCCAGGTTCAGATTGTTTTTTCTATCTTTCTTGTAGCTGACTTAACTATTTGATAGACTTAACCAGACCCCAGGCAAATATAAAACCCTCAAGATTCTTACGTACAAGATACTATGGTAGATCTTTTAAACTATTATTGATTAAAGACACATCACTCTTCCAGGTACAGTGAGGTCAGCAGGTATTAAGAGTGTGAACCAGAGAACGTCTCCAAGGATTACTGTGGTACTGTGCTGGGAAATGAGATTGGTGGCAGCAACAAGGTGAAAAGGGTTGTTTGACATTTTAAAAAGATTAAAATGTTTAAGAAATAATTTTCTTTGTGGTTCATCCGAAAAAGGCATTGCTGTAATATCAGTATGGCATAGGAGACAAAGATAAAATATGCTGAGTCGTTTATTTAAAGTGTGACTTTAGTGAAGTTACTGAACCTGCCTGAGTCTGTTTCCTGAAGTATATTAAGGACATGCCAGGGCCTACCTGAAAGACTTATTGTGAGAACTACAGTAGGCAAAAGAATAGACTGGGTGCTGAATTCAATGTTTGGACTCCTAGAAGAAATGCTGAGTTTGTTCTCTTTCTCCTTTGTAGGGTATAATAGAGATAACCATTAATAGCTGAAACTTGTGTTTATGGTATTAGCAATGGACGTATGCAAATAGGGCAGGTAGGATAGTTTTGCAAACTTTGGATGAGGAATGAATAGGCACAATGTGGTGAAGAAAGAACCTAGAATTTGGCATTTGAGTTGTAGCTGTATAGTTATAAACAGTATCAATTTAGGCAAGTCCTTTTATTCCACATCTATAAAATGTTTACTTAACAGGGTTGAAGTGAGTATGTCAGTGAGATATATGTGAACTGCAGGGTTTGAGTGAATATTACTTTTTATAAAGACAGTTTATGTTTGATGATTCAAGTCTTTTTAAAATTTTTATGTGTATTAGTCCTTTGGGGGATGGGAGAACAACATGGAGTCCCGAGTTATCACTTACAAGAGATTCTGACAGTATCCAGAGAGGTTATGGTATCTTTAGGGGAAATGTGGGTTTCTTCTTTACGTCTTTGCTTAAACTCCTTGCCTCTTCTTATGTTTCCCCTTTCCCCTAGAATGGGGTCTTTTATGTATTTGCTTTAAAGCCTTTTTCTTTTTTTCAAACTTTTTATTGTGAATTGAATGAAGATTTACAGAGCAGATCACCTGCTTTATAGTCAACAAATTAAAAGTGTTTTTCTTTGAGAAGAAGTTCAACATGGAAAGACTAACCTCTGTGTCTATATTGGATTGCAACTCTGCCTTCTTACATTGTATAAAGGGTTTGTGCAAACAAATCTTAACAGTAAACAAAAGTAAAGATTCAGCTTTTTGGGGTGCGAACTAAATAGTTTCATGTGGCACTATATAATAAGCACTCGACTACAAGGTCAGTTTGAACTACAAGATTGGTAGTTCAAACTCAGTAGCCACCCCTCGGAAACCTATATACACTAAACAACAATAGCAACAAATCTATTCTATTT